CTGCTCATGCCCCCCTCCTCCTCTTGTCCTCCTGCTCATGCCCCCCTCCTCCTCTTGTCCTCCTGCTCATGCCCCCCTCCTCCTCTTGTCCTCCTCCTCTTGCCCTCCTCCTCTTGCCCTCCTCCTCCTCCTCTTGCCCTCCTCCTCTTGCCCTCCTCCTCCTCCTCTTGTCCTCCTTCTCCTCCTCCTCTTGTCCTCCTGCTCCTCTTGCTCGTCTAACTCGTCTAACCCTACAAATACGTCTTATTCTGCTCGTGTATTAAAGACGAGCAGCTTTGGTTTCCGTGTAAACGTCACCGACTTTAAACGTTTCCGTTTGTTTCCTGTTTTGCTGATGCGCTGACGTCGTTACGCCACAGATTTCCTCCGACTGCCAGAGCCGCTGCAGTCAGTACAACTCAGCAGCTCCGTGCTGCCCCTCAGCAGGCCTCTGGAAGCTGGCCAGTCAGAGGACAGTGGGCTTTGAGGGAGGAGGGGCTTAAAGAGACGGGAGCTGAAGCAGCTTGTTTCAGACAGAGGATGATCCAAGCACAGACACAGAAGGATTATTCTGAACTGGAAGTTATGCAAAGCTGCTCATATATTAGAAATAAGCAGCTGGAAACGAGCAGAATGGGTCCCTGTAAAGACATTTCAATCATCCACTGAAGACTGACGCGTGCTTTTTTTTTTAGTTTGATTTTATAATTCAGGCGGTTTAGTGGCTTAGTATGGACAATGTTTCACATGCACTGAATGAGCTGCTTAGCATTAGCAGATTTTATAATAATCTTTGGGTTGAAGTTCTTCAGTATTTGTCCGTTAATCTTCAAAACTGGAAAATGTGTAAAAACTGAGGGAACCACTGGAGGACGTTTAACTGAATCATTTTGTTTTATAAATGTGACGAATGATCCAAACTGGCTGTCGACTTCCTGTTTGACCTTCGACCTCAGGAGAGCGTTAGGTCGTGCAGCGTCTTTCGTGCAGGTCAGAGCACGACGGACGAGCCGAACAAACAAACCCTGAGATTGGAGACGGTGAAGGAGCCCGAGGCTGAAACGCACTGGCCTCCTAATAATTCCTGATCAGCGTGTCGTTATCTCTAACTCGGATCCGTGTAGAGAAGCAGCGTTTCTGTGACATCATCAGTGTGACGTCGGAGCCACAGGTTTCCTCACAGCCGGAGAACTTCACGGTGATCTTGTGAAGTCGTCCAGTTTGGTGGCGTTTCTGTTTTTTACCTGAACAGTGATGATTGAGCAGTGCTTCTGTTGATTTTCTTTTGTGCCAAATGTGTTTCTCTCTCTGTGATGAGCTCTGTATTTCAGTCGCACTGCGTCTTTTCACACCAATGTCCTGCAGCCTTTCAATAAAAACTGAACTGTTATCGCAGCCTTCGTCTTCCTCACAGATCATACTGAGTCTCCATGAGTGATGTAATCCAGAGGCAGACTCCCACAGACAGACTGAAGTGGAGGGTGTTTTGTTTTTTGTGTTGATAACAGATGAAATAGGCTGAGAGGATGCTCAGACTGAAACGAGCTTGCAGGACGTGAACAAACTGCCTGAAGCACCAGCTGAGTTTAAGTTCCCCTCAGGTTCTGTGCTGGTGTGATGCTGCCACCTGGTGGTGATGAAAAGGAATGCCCAGTGACGGTGCAGCTTAAAGAAACACAACAAGCTCAGAAACTGAGACTAAAGCCCCCCCGGGGGGGTGAGGATGGACCACCCAGCTGAGCCACCGTGTCTGTAGCTCCACGCGTGATATCATCCATCATTTAGGTTTACTCTGATTACACAGATTGTGTAGATTACCGGTGAGTAACTCGAGCTCATAAAATATTACATTACACAGTTTGTCACCGACTCTGCAGCTCAGGTTTTCTCCTGACAGTCTTTACACATACAGCAGGTCAGCGTGACAAAGAGGAAGCTCTGAGGTCAGAGGTCAAATACTTTATTGTTGTACGGTACTCCGTCTGTCACAGAGAACTAAAAGAGTCCATGCACAACTTCCTCATGCTCCTCGACAGGTGCAGAACCGAAAATACAGGGCAAAGAAGAAGTAACGGTTCTCCCACCGCAGAGCTCCAGAGTCCTTATTTCATGCATCCGATGATGTCTCGAGCACACCTGCAAGAATCACAGCTTCTTGGTTTTTAGGCTCTTTTGTCAGGTTAAGGAGACAGAACCTCAAAGACATCCCACACAGCATGCACATGTAATATATAACAACACAACCTGCTGTGAGACGGCGTGCTCTTAGAACACGTGAAGCATCGTCGGCTTTCTTTGTCAAACATGATCAATTCATCCTAAAAAGTCGATTCTGTCCATCTGGATGTTTTTCAGCATCATCAGGTGACGTCTTCAGTCTCAGCTGACTGCAGGTCCCCAACCTCATAAACAGCACATCTGCACTGACGCTGACTAACAACGGGCGAGGAGGTCAGTTTAGGATCCTTAATATGCAAATTGTCATGACCCCTGATCAAAGCCCATTGGTTGGCTGTGTCTGCAGTGTGAGGACAAGCGTCTGGTTCCTACATCATGCTGTTCTGCTCTGCCTCAGAGTGATTAACCCTTTAAAGCAGGGGTGGGCAACTGACCCAGGGTGATATCTAAAGCCTGCAGGACACCGGCCCTCGAGGCGTGGAGAACCCACCCCAGCTTTAAACCCTAACCCATCGCTGGCGACCGGTTAGGGTTTAAAGGGTTAATAGTGCCATTTGAATCTGTCCTGGTGTAGGACTTGCAGCCTGGAACAGCCAGACTTCCAGTTACAACCTTCAGCTGGTCCTCGTGAGCCACAGACACGCCAAAGCTCCGGAAACAAAGAGCACTTTTAAATGAAAGATGAGCCACATACTCCTCTCTGCATGGATTCATGACAAACGGTTTTAATGGAGCAAGCGGAGGCGTTCACAGTCTGACCAGCAGGGGGCCTCGTCCTCCATCAGCCACAGCAGGATTTAAAGTCCAGTGTCGCTGAGCTCTGACAGATGTTCGACTGAGAAACCTCAAAACTCAGAGACTGTTCGATGGGTCGATTTATCGCTGAAATAAAGACGTTCACGCACGCAGAGTTCAGTTTCATCTTTAATACTGAAATATTCAGAGAACAGAGATGAACGTGGACAACTGACAGTTTCTATTCAGTGGATGAAGACGGGCGACAGCGGCAGGAGGGGGAGGAGTCAGCTGCTGCATTCACTGTTTGCAAAGTAAGTTGAAATTCTTCTTCTGTGGTTTTTCCCAAGGAATCATCCAAACATCCACGTGACACTGAAACACCTGAAAAACAGAAGAATCGTTTTACAGTACAACATGCACTACTGCAAGTTTTACTGCAGTACTTCCACTGCCAGGATTTCCAGTAATACTGCAGGAAGTGGTTTTATGTAATCATTTTATTTCAAATTATTTCAAACTGTCTCTGGCATCAACAATACTGCACAAATTTCCCATGATGCACTGCAGCTCACAGTGTTTGTTTCTGAGGCTTTACAGTATTGTACTGAGCGACTGTATAGACTCTCTGATGAGACGAGGGGGCTCGACCTCAATCTTCATCCTGACAGAGTCTTCTCTGCTCCTGTAATGCTCTCATTAAAGGTTTTATTATAACAGATGACACATCCTGTTTCTCAGAGTTTGGATGGAGTCAAAGTTAAGCAAGAAAGGGTTAGGGTTAGTCTTTCCTCTACAGTTGGCAGCTCAGACTCACCTGGTGGAGCGGACCGGGTGGCTGGAAGTCACACCTGGACAGGTCGTTGTTCTTGTCCCGTTTACGACACACCGTTCTGGAAATCTGAAAATCTGCCATGTACCGAACTCCTTTAACAATCTGAAACACACACACACACACACTTAGCGTGCACCTCACATGGAACCGCCCCCTACGCCAGCATGAACCCACGCCTGCCATATTTCCTGCAGATGCAGTGGTTGAACTCTGACCCCGTCATACCTGCTTCTGTGCTCTGTCGATGGTGGCGGGTTTGAAGAGGAAGGCGTCATTTGATTCGTTGTTGAAGAAGTAGGTGGCGTTGAGGACAACCTGCTGGAGGCCACGGTCATTCTTGCTGATGTTGTGTGGGGACCCGGGCATGGAGGGGCGATGATGCCAGCCAGACACCAACGTTCCCTCTGGAAGAGAAGAGCACCTCCCGTCAGAGACGTGTCAGAAGTTTCTTCCTGTTAAAAGGGTGTTTTTCCTTTCCACTTGTAACAGCCACTATGGTGTGGTGTCCCTTTTAGACACCCAAGTCGAGGGTTGATGGTTTCATCAGTTTGTGCCACTGCTCTCTCTGTGATGGTGTGGACATGTGCTTGCACGCTAGTACATGAGGAGGGACGGATTTTATGTTTTACCTCTCCAGACACCTTTGTTTGCAACGTTATGGGTTGTACGAACACTGTGCGCTATGTTTGTTAAGCTGCAGCCGTTCAACCGGGCTTATATGGTTGATGAAGAGAAGGTATATTAAACAACACACTGTGGAATTCCCAACGCCAGCGTGAGTGTGTATTCTTTTGGCTACCCTGCTAAGTGTTTTGCCGCCTCCTCTCAACCACTAAACACAACCCGACGTTACACACTGTCACCAAGTCATTCTTCACAGGGGGGCGTCCGATTGTTCTCTGTGTTATTTGGGGGTCTTTACAATATAAAGCACCTTCAGCTCTTGCTGTGGTTTGGTGCTGTATAAATAAAGTTGAATTGAATGAATATTGTTGCCCTCAGGTGTGAATGCATCCGACTGTCCGTGTTAGCTCTGAGACAGACTGGCGATCTGTGCCCCGCCTCTCGCCCTATGGTAACTGGGATAGCCTGCAGCCCCCCCACAGCCCTGATAGCGATACGCAGGAGAGGACGGATGAGTTAACACAGAGTTTCCATAAAGTTTTTCAAACAGAACAGTGATCAGTTCAGCTTCATGTTTGAATGTTGTACAGCTCGGAATACTCAGGCTGAACATTTAGGTATAAACTTAAGACATTTTCAGAGAAGTGAAGTTTTAGGCGGGTGTCAAACTGTCAAAACAGCCACAGGAAACAGGCTGATGAGACAGAGTGGATCAGTCAGGGGGACGCTCTGTGGTGATTGGCTGTGGGGATGGTGAGTCAGACAGGGTACGTGGTCTAAGAGGAAGAACCATTTTTCTGTGGTGACAGAAGCACTTCCTGTTGCCTCACTGCATTTAAAGACACTGTACTGTGTTTTAGCTCGTTTCACACACATAACACACATCATCTAGGCATCTTTTAATTTTTAAGTAGTTTGACATTTTTAGAGCCTTTTGAAAAACGGCTGACATAAAGGCAGACGTGGTCTCAGCATCTCTGACACGCTCAGATGTCTAAACAGTTTTTACCTTTCATGCTGGAACGACGAGCCGGAGCATTGCACAGGCTGTGACACCTAGTTTTTGAAGGCCAAACTAACAGCGTTCATTTGTCTGTGCCTGTAGTTTATTTATGGTGTACAGGTCTCAGGTATCTGTGGGTCTGACCTGCATGGATACACGCTTTGATCACAGTTAAAATGCTTATAAAGCAAATATGTTCATCAGATTAAGGCATCACAGTAATTTTTTAATGAAAAAATGCTGGTTCTGATCTTTAATGATGATTACACATGGCATTCGTCTAGAGCAGCAGCTTGAAATTCACATGAAAATCTTTCCTTCCCATCAGCCCGCTGCACTCGTGGTGTCACTGCCTCTCTGGTCTAATATTGATGAAAATCAAGCTCAACACGCCAGACTGAACATACACATTACTTCAAACATCATGTCTGCAGCCACCTCGCTCTGAGCGCAAACAGCAACCCGACTTCGTTTAAACGAGAGAATTTAGCAGGACGGTAGTCTGAACAGCCTCTCACTCATAAACTGAGACAGTTATTAGTTTAGTCATGCAGCGATCTTTGTTTCTGTTTTCACTTGTTTGAGTCTTGCTGATGAGGTTTCCGGTGTTTGGGTGTGAAGGCTGAAGTTGTAAACAGGTCATGGTGAGCGAACCTCTACAGCGATTAACGGGTCGTTAATGAAACCAGTAACGGTGCGGTGTATGGGACACAGCAACATCCACAGACTTACAGAGAGCCCAGAGACTTCCAGAAGTCCAGCGTTTCTGTTTTTAAGATGTGGGATGAATGTTTGAAGGTTGCCCATAAATCTGCTGACATGACAAAGTGAGCGTCGCTGCAGCAGAAATGTCAGTCTGGCAGAAGGTGACCTCAGCAGGTCAGCAGAGGTCACCACACTGCAGGTGTGGGACGAGCAGACCTCAACATCGTCTAAACATGCAGGCAGGATCGTGACCATCGAGTCTGAAATGTGCCAAAGGTGGACTTCAGTGACGACAGCGTGGCCTCGTTTAGTTTAAACTGTTTTAAGATATCAGAAGCTGACAACGCAGCAGCCATCCCACACATGTAAACCAACACTGATCAGGATGATAAACGCAGGCCATGGTGACGACGCTCAGCTGACGCTCAGCACAAGAAGTACATATTTGATCAACTTTCTAAAATATCTGGGCATTTTCCATTGATCAGAAACTGTCTGCAGAGCAGTTATCTTCATTTCCACCACATTAAGCTCTTGTTCATGTCTGGGACAAGTCGCCGCTTTGAAGTTGAAGTTGCATAGTTTTTGTTTTAAAGAAAGTGGAGCTGCTGCAGGGCCCCGACCTGCACAGACCTGAGTTCAGCTTTAACCTCTGACTGTGCTGAGACAGACACACACACAGAGTCTTACCCAGAGCGGCGAGCACAAACACGAGCAGCAGCATCTTCACCTCCATCCTTCTCACTGAGCTTCCTGCAAAGTGTCGAGTCTCAGACCACAGAGAGGTCCGTCCGCTGCCTCGTTGACGTCACTTCCTGTACCTGTTTAGATTAGCGAGGGTTCCTGCTGCACTCTCAGATCTGACTCAGCTGATACTAATCAGTCACCTCAGGCTCCACCTCCTCCTCTCTCACCTCTCCTCCTTCCTGTTAGATGAGGGTGAAGCAGTCACAGGCTCATTGTGGGCGTGCAAAACGTTTGCAGCTCTGCACATGTGTGAAAGTTTATCGCAGGCTGGGGACAGGAAGGGTTAATGAGGACTTCCTGACTCTGTGTGACTGCACTTCCTGTTGGCTTTCACTGAGTTTTTTTCAAAGGGTGAACGTGCTGAAGACGAGCTCAGAGACAAAGGAGAGGAAGTGACTCCTAATGATGTTCCACTAAACCCAGAACTGGTCCTGCTGAGACCAGCGGGACCAGTTAGAATAAAAATGAACAAACTCAGCTTCAGGAAACCTCACAGAGCTTGATAACACAACAATATCAAAACTTATTCTAGAAAGAATAAGAGATCTTCACCTGTTGCCTACTGGTGGTGGTCAGAGGGCCCGGTGGCGCCAGTGTCCGGCAGCCTCGCCTCTGTCAGTGCGCCCCAGGGTGGCTGTGGCTACAATGTAGCTGCCATCACCAGTGTGTGAATGTGTGTGTGAATGGGTGGATGACTGGATGTGTAAAGCGCTTTGGGGTCCTTAGGGACTAGTAAAGCGCTATATAAATACAGGCCATTTACCATTTACCATAAATGGTTTGGAGAACTTTCCGTGTCGGGAGGAGGAGACCAGAACCGTTCTCCTGAGCTGCAGACGAGAGCCTGCGACTGGTTAAAGTGTAATACCTGTACACAGAGCAGGGTGATATGACCAAAAGTATGCGATAACGATATAATTGACACGAGACAAAATACTTTACAACCCTCAACTTTATTAGCCAAAAACAAACAAACATCATGTATTTCCACTTAAACAAGCAGCTGTTTTTTATCTGCATTAAAGTTATATAAACATGTAACAGTGCAAATTCCTCGCTGACAGTTTAACCAAAAGGCTTTCCAGTGGAAACTGGCCGACACATCCTCAGCATAACCATGTATAATATCCACAAACTTAAAAAGAGGTTATACACACACAATACGGTAACATTATGTTGAAGCACAGTACGTATCACTCCGCGAGGCTCCGCCTACGATAGCCGTAATGCTCCGACAATCCATCAAGCGGTGCGGCTTCGTAGCTCAGCAAAGTCGTACTGAAACATTGACAGATTTTCGAGCGCCGTGCACATAAAATCGTTTCAGGTCAGTAAACACAACCAGAGTTCATACATAAGGCACACGGGATTATAAGGGGCTCTGTCGACTTTCAGAAAAATCAAAGGATTGATTTTAAGTGCGCCGTATTTTCCAAACAACACGGTAATAACGACGGCCCGCTAGCATGCGCTACCAAAAATAGTGCTTTGTTGTGTATCTGACACGCTCTTGCTCTTGACGAAGGCGGTCGCACTTTTCTCCTCCCTCCTCCTCTCCCTTAGCTTCCCTGCTTAGCCTCTTTGTCCTTGTCTAGTCTCGTGTTTTTTGTATTACTTTTCCCTGGAACACTCTCACAGTCTGTTCTCTAAAACCTAAAAGAGGAATTATGGGATTGGATCAACTGGTCTCTGAATGCAATTGACACCCCTTTCTCAACGAAATGGGCTCATTGAGTGCAGCACGGAGAAGATCTTGGAGCTTACGGCTGCTGTGAACACTCAGAACAAGACCTGTGACTGCAGACTGGATTACATCTGGAGGGGCTCGCTCGAACAACATCTTTGAGCGATCGATCACATCTTGGGGAAGTGCACTGCGGTCGTGAGTTCTCAGAACCTGCTCTTTGAGCAAAAAAACGACAACATCACAGAACGTAAGTTTGGATACATCATAGAAAGCTCACAGCTCTCCAACGGGAGATTGAGAGACCAGTGTTGGACTGTAGAACTGCTTTGAAATTCATATGAGCTGTTCGCACTAAAGTAAAAACCACCATCACTTCATGCGGAGACCCTCTCGGCGCCAGCTGCGGTCTCAAGGCTGGAGCTGAACAAAACACCCTGATAACGACTGTGTTTAGCTGTTCCTTCCCATTCCATGCAAGGCCACCTGGGTTGGCTGGAAGACTGTTTACTTAGCCTGGCAGGGCGAAGGACACTGTCTCAGCTGAACTCTGGACACACACACACACACATACATATACACTGATATGCACACACTCATCCCCCCTCCCTTTCCAAACGCCTTCGACGCTTATTCCCTTCCGATGCTGACGGTGGATCAAGGAGACCAGCGCACGCAGGCCCGGATGTACTGTCTAATCGGCGTCTCTCACCCTTTACCCCCCCTGTTCTTGTCATGTGTTTCTTTGTGTATTAAGAGTTTTTCATGTGCAGAGGTGTTTTTTCTGTTCTCAAACTGATCTCCCTGTTGGAGCTCAGTCTGGGAGGAGTTATTTTCTCCTTATCTTTCCTCATGTGGTGCATTTTCCATTGTTATACCTCTGACCTGTCTTCCCCATGTGATGTTTGTGTAATGTATGTATGGTCAGAAGGGTAAGTCGGCGCTGGCAAAGGTCGGCAGCCTTAACCCAATTTCCTTCGGGGTCAGCCTTCAGGATCAATAAAGTTTTATTGAATTGATTGAAAGCTAAACCAGTTCCACACCACTAAAGTTGCAGCAATTTTACAAACCAGTTCAGGTTCATCGTTTCATTCAACGATCTGCTCTCGCCCTTCTCATTCTCCGTTGCCGCCATGATTTTTCCGCCATGTGTGTATGAAAACAAAGGCACTGTGCATGCGCGTTTTACCCATATTCTATCGCCATATTTCATTTTCTTTGCCCAACATTATACCGGTGTTACTGTGAACGGTATGATATGGCCCAGCCCTACCTGTACATGTGCACAGCTGCATCGTCTGCCGATCATCCTGTTGGTCCGCCCTGTAGTCTTCCTCTTTGCTCTCCTGAACGTTTCTGTGGCCGACTGTCGTCTGTTGTATCTGTGCATGTGTTGCAGACGTGATCATGCCTGTTACAGGGACGTCCTGCAGCTCATTCAAATGAACTCTTTAATCGTTTTTTCCTTGAGTGTTTAGCTCTGGTTGTATTTTACAGTTTCTTCCCTCTGTGGCTGCTGTCTTATCCTAAAGTTCATTCATCTGTTTCCTCAACTAGTTGAACTGGTTCTCACTTCCTGTTTTATTCTGATAGTTTCTTGTCTCCACTGTCTTGTTTAGTTTTACCTCTGTTATTCCTGCTGTGGTCACTTCTCAGCGTTAGCATCTGATGGACTTTTCACCCCCGTTTTGTGTTATTGTCTGGTTTTATCTTACACTATAAGTACCTGGAGGCAACTTTTGTTGTCATTTTGTGCTTCACAAATAAAATTGAAGTGTAGTTTATCCATCACCATGTGTTTGCATTTGGGTCCTAAACTCTGCAATTCACGATACATTCATTGCTGCATTGTTCATTCATTTAGTATGAAGTGTGAGGATGAATATCTGTCTTTAAACTCAGTAAAGTGAATCTGAACAGTTCA